GGGGGGGGGGGGGGGGCGGGAAACACAAGCCCCGGGGCCCTGCCGAACACAAGCAGGGGTCTCAGAATTCAGGAGTGAGGACGTGACCGGTAAACATTCTTTACAGCTTCACTGAGAGGCGGCTCCCTCTCCCCACGATTCACGGCGTGCTTCGCACAGCTGTCCCCACGGTAGATTCTAGACTGTGTTCATCCCCCGTGAAGCCGCCCCTCCCGGCCCCCACCCCATCCAGGCAAAGCCCCGCCCCTGGCCCTGGCAGCCTGATTTCTGGCTGCTCTGGATGCTGCATGCCCGTGGACCTGCTCAGGTGGCCTCTCGGTCCTGGCTTCTTTTACCAGTGTGGTGTTTCCCAGGCTCATCTGCGCTGTGGCATCTGTCAGCGTTTCACTCCTTTTTACAACCAAATAACATTCCATCAGATGGGCCACAGCGGATCCATCCACTGGCTGCTGATGGGCACCCAGGCTGTTGTGACTTGTGCAGCCACGAAAGAGCACAGAGGTGGCCAGGTCATAATGATGTCATCATGTGTGGTTTCTTTTATGCGTTTGGACACCTTCTGGGTCCCCAGGCTCGGCAAGCAGGTGGCTGGGGCACAGGGCGGGGTGGGGGCGGAGTGGGGTCTGAGCTTGGCAGGCGACCCTTCCCCGGACACTGCACAGCCCGCTGGATGTTTCAGCAGCCTTCCCACACCTGCTAACAAGGAAGCTGGGGCCGGAAGGACAGAGGGGCTCTCTGCCCAGGGCTGCAGAGGTAGGGCTGAGCCACGAGGGAGCCGTCTGCCTCCCGAGCCAGCCCCCAGATCCAGGAGAGGGTGTCCACCTTCCTCAGCCCTGGCCCCTCACAGCCAGCTCTTCCGGAGGCCTGGTCCCGGCTCCAGGGAAGGAGGCGTGATCGTGTCAAGAGTGGCTCTGGCCGCCGTCCCTGTCGGAAATCCCTTGGTCCTCCCCCTGGGCATGTTTCTAGCTTACAGAGGCTGAGACGAAAAGGCTAGCCTGGCTTCCTGAGGACCCCAGACAAGGTGTCTGCAGTCACAGGGGCCGAGGAGCACAGGGCCCCCCAGAGCCTGGCCACTCGCACCCCTCAGAACGCGGTTTGAGTTCCAGAGCCTGGCCACTCGCACCCCTCAGGACGCGGTTTGAGTTCCAGAGCCTGGCCACTCGCACCCCTCAGAACGCGGTTTGAGTTCACGCTTCAGCGGCTGCAGCCACAGAGGCAGACCAGCGGGTCCGGGAGCCAGGAGTCTGTGCTGCCGTAACAGGCACCTCAGAAAAAGCAGGGCCGCAGGAGGGGCAGAGGGAGCCTGGGACCTGACGGGGTCAGGATGGCCCAGACGGAGCAGGCGCTGAGGCCCAGCAGAACCTGGACTAGAGCCAGGGGGTTGGACCTCAGAACCTGGAACATGGCAGTCTTGAGGCCCCAGGCCCAGTGCCCTCCCGGGGGGCGTAGCAGGAGAGCTGCTTCTTCCTGGGAACACGGCTGTAGCTCCGCCCCGTGGTTATGGACTGACTCTGCCCACTGGGAACACGGCTGTAGCTCCGCCCCGTGGTTATGGACTGACTCTGCCCACTGGGAGCACGGCTGTAGCTCCGCCCCGTGGTTATGGACTGACTCTGCCCACTCGTCCTCTTGCCTTGTGCTTGGGGCTCCCAGGGTCTGTCCTCGTGCCTGCCCTGCTGTGGGGGTGGGGGGGGAATACTGTCACCTGTGTGTGTCACTCATGACGCGTTCTGCTCAGCAGGGCCATGTGCCCGCCTCTCTCACACCTGCGATGCTCTCTGGCGTGGGTGGAGCCCTCTGGCCTTTTCTGGAGAGACTCTCTAGCCAGGGGACCCACCATGTCCCGTTGTCATCTTCTCTTCTGTGGCTTTTTCCCAGCCGTGTGTTTCCTGAACAGACTCCCGAGGAGGTGACCTGGCTGCGCTGTACATCAGGGTTACCCTGTGGGTTTTATTGTCTATGATGAGCTCTGTTAACACTTATCAACATGCCTTTAAAGAAAGACAGGACCACTGGCGAGAGAAGGGAGGAGCTCCCGCCCCCGCAGCAGAAGCTCGGGGGCTGTGTCCGCACTTGCAGGGAGCAGACCTTTCAAGGATGAGCTGGGGTACCGGCCAAGGATCGGCCAGGCTGTGCTAAGGCGCCTCCCAGTCCTCCTGCTGCTTGGGGTTAAGTGTGAGTGAGGCCGTAGAGTCCACCGAGCAGAGAGCCATCCGTCCCGCAGAGAGGAACCAGGCGTGACAGCTGGGGAGGTTTGCAGCCCGTGGAGATGCAGGAAGAGGCCAAAGTTCAGTGATTGATGGCTTCCCCCGGTGTGGCATGAGCTGAGCAGCTGCCCGCCCGGCAGGAGCCAGAGTGGGAGCAGGTCCACCTGGGCGGCCGCCGCCCCGCTCAGGGCCCTGATGACCCCACCTTCCCCCACTGTCTGCAGTCAGCTCCTTGCAGCAAACCTCAGCACGCCTCTGGCTCTGCTGCCCCAGGGGCCTCGAGGACACAGGCACCAGGACAGACTCATCTCAACGGCTGCGGTGTTGTGTGCCTGGGCCACTAACCTGGTAGACTTAGGGCACCGAGGACCTGTCTCCACGGGTAAAGGGGTCACCAGTGTCCCTAACCTGCTGTGGCCTTGCTCCTCAGAATGTGGCTGTGGGCTTCCCTGTGGAGGTCCTGCAGGAGAGCCCGCGGGGCTGGCCGGTGGGCTGGGTACTGTGCCCAGGGCTCCATCCCATGAGCAGCTAGATGGCACCCGCCACAGCCGCCGCTTCACTGTCCTTTTCACCAGTCTTGGCAGCAGGCAGGCACGTCTCGCAGCACTTTCGCTCACTTTTCTCCAAGTATCGGTGAAGCCAAGCATCCTCTCTTGTGCTTGCTTGCAGCCTGTGCCCCTGCAAAGGGCCCCGGGCGGAAAGCTGCAGGTCTGACCCTGGCCTCGGAAGGCCCACTGGGCTGGCACAGTTGGTCTGCAACTCGTGATGCTGCTTTATTTTCTGCTGATACACAGAACTGCATGGACCTTTAGTACTTAGTTGCCTGAGAATCGATCTTACCTCTGGAAACCTCGCAGAAGTCTCCTCAATTCTACTGAGTTGGCTGTCGATTCTTGGGTCTCCTTTGCGGACAAACTGTCTGTAGACAGGGACAGTTTCATTCCTCCCCCTCCAGTCCTTATGGGTCTCGTTCCGGTCCCATATCCTCTCACAGCAGTCGAGGCCTCCGTGGTGGGGTCGAACAGATGGAGCTGTGGCCGGCTGTCTCGGTTCTGACTCAACAGAGGCTGTTTCTCCGTGGCGTGTCGTGGTTTCCAGGCCCCCACGCCAGGATTCTGGCTCCATGTCTGCTGCACATCTTGTCACCAAAGAAGCTGGATTCTAATGCTGCGTCTGCAGCCGTTGAGATCGTCCCTGTGGTCTGTGCCTGTGATGAGCCTTTTCAGTTTGGAGCCAGCCTTGCATTCCAGTTGCACCCAGCCTGGCCAGCGTGTCACATGGCTGGACCTGTCTTCAGGACCATTCTGACACAGGACTTCTCCTGTTCACCATCGTCTCTTCTGTTTCATAAACAAGCTGGGGAGTTTACCCTCCTGCTTTCTGCCACTTTGAGTAATATTTGGATTTTCCTCTCAAACACTGGCTGAGTTCCTTCAAGGCTGCCTTAGCCTCGTGTTTTTGGGGGAGGAATCTAGGAATTTCGGATTCTTTTCGTTTAACACTTTTAGGACTACTTAGGCGACTGCGTCATCTGAGTCGCTCGCCGTGCCTTTCTCTGGAATGTGCTCCTTTTGCCGTGCAGGGCCCACTGCCCGTGAGACTCCGCGGGGCCTTGCGGTGACCAGGTTCACTCTGGCTGTTGTTCAGTTGTGCTTCACCTTTTTCCTGACCTTTCAGAGGGTTGTCACTTGAATGAATCCCTGCAAATAACTGGTGTTTGGCTTTGCTGATCCTTTCTGTTGCATTTTTGTGTTTTTTAATCTCATTAATTTCTCTTTTTATCTTTATAGTTTCCTTCCTTTTGCGTACTTGGGGTTATTTCCCCAAGAGCTAAGAGGAGTGCTTAACTCTTTAATTTTCAGCCTCTTAAATCTTATGATGTAAACATACAGGACAGTAAATTTTCTTGAAGTAATATTTTCACTGAGTTCCATCCATTTTGATATGTAGTATTTTCATTACTTTTTAGTTCTAATAATTTTTGAGTTTTGAATTTTGAGTCCAGATTATTTATTTGAAAGGCTGTTTTTCAGTTTCAGAAAGCTTGGGGTTTGGGAGCTTTAACCTAAGTGAACTGTAGTCTATGAACTGCTGATTTAGACGTTTGTGAGGACTAGCTTTGTAGCCAAGCCAGACGATGGTTCCACGTGGACTTTAAAAGGCCACAGCCTCTTCCAATCACGTCCACTCCCCTCTCTTGCTTTCGCACATTCAGTAGGTCAAGCTTACTCAATATTTCCTCAAATCATCTTATCTTGTTTTGTTATTTTTCTGCCCACTTCTATCGATAACCAAGAGAGCTGTGCGAAGTCTCCTGTGGACACTGGGTTTTTCAAGTTCTCCTTGTGGTTATGTCAGTATTTGCTTTACCTGTTTTAAAGTTGTTATTAGTTGCATAGGCACACAACTTTTAGAATTCTCATATCTTCCTGTTAAGTGAAATACTTTATAATTATGAGATGAACCTCTGGCTCTACTAACACTCTTTGCCATGAGGTCTGTTTGAGCTAATATTAATACCATTACTCCAGCATTTTTTGGCTCGTATTTGTGTATCATTTTCTCATCGTTTTGATTTCAACCTTCCTTTGCTCTTGTTATAAATTGTTTCTAGCTGTTTTTTAAAAAATCTGTCTGACAGTCTTGTTTTTCAACCTGTTAGTTTCATCCATTTACATTTATTGTAATTACTCATATAATTTGTGTTCAGTTGTAATATACTAATTTGTTCTATCTCTCCTACTTTTTCTGTTCTTTTTTCTCCTTTGTTTCTTATATTCTTTTCTCTTTTTTCACCCTTGTTTCTATTTTTCCCTCTATTAATTTGAAAGTCATAACTCTTATTTCTCTTCTTTTAGGGGTTAGCCTGCATGTTTGAGTTAACAATGTCTGAAGTTAGAATTAATCCAAAGACTTCAGATCGTGTTAGCTTTCTCACCTGCTTTCCGTCTTACTGTTATTTCCAGTATTTTTAACACATTGTGGTTTTCCTTAGTTTTGCAAAGTAGACATCACATTTCTTTTATATATTCAGTGACTCTTAGAGTTTATGATGTATGGACATGCATAGGCACTCTGAGAAAAGGCAGCCTTTTTTACTAAAAGGATTTCCTTTGCTATGACCTTTCACTGGGGCCATTTTTCCTTGAAAATTCTGTTTCCTCTCTCTCCTGAAAGAGCATGTTGCTGGGTTTGTGACTGGCCTGACAGGACTCTGAGAAGGGTCCTCTGCTCTTGTCATTGCTGTTGGACAGCTGCCTCTGTCCTGTCACTCCTGGCTTTATTCTTGACTGCTCTGTTGTCTGGATCTTTCTTCACATTTACCTCAATTATGTGTGTTTATTTTTAATTCTGTTCTTATTCGTCACATAGATGTATATTTGTTTCCACTACAAAGTAACCACTTGCTTTATTGCTTTTCTTCTTTTATTGTGGTAAAATGGACATAATGGGAAATTGACCATCATAACCATATTTAAGTGTGCAGCTCAGCGAGGTTAAGTGTGTTCACAGCGTGTGTAACCACTGCCACTATTTCCACAGCTTTCCATCGACTCACACAAAACCTCTGTTTGCATTAAATAGTCATTCTCCACTTACCCTGGTCCCTACTGCTTTACCTCCTGTCTCTATGAATTTAACCCCTCTGGGGGCCTCACAGGAGAAGGCAATGGCACCCCACTCCAGTGCTCTTGCCTGGAAAATCCTGTGGATGGAGGAGCCTGGTGGGCTGCAGTCCATGGGGTCGCACAGAGTCGGACACGACTGAAGCGACTTAGCAGCAGCAGTAGCAGGGACTTCACATTAGTGGAATCATATAAAATTTATCCTTTTGTGTCTGGCTTATTTCACTGAGCGTAATGTCTTCGAAGTCCATCCATGCTATAGCTGTATCAGATTTTCCTTCCTTTTAAAATCTGAATAAGTTCCATTGTACATATATGTGTGTGTGTGTGTGTGTGTGTTTGTCATCTGCTGATGGACACTTGGGTTGTTCCATTTGGCTGTTGTGAACAGTGCTCCTACTATATACCATGATGTACAAGTAGCTGTTCACGTTTCTGCTTTCAGTTGTTTTGAATCTGACCTGGCAGTGGAATTGCTAGATCATACAGTAATTCTGTGTTTAATCTTTTGAGAAACTGTAGCACTGTTGTGCATGTCAGCGACACCACTTTACATTCCCATCAACAATGCCTAAGTGTTCCAGATTTCTGTACATTCTCGTCAGCATTTATTTTCCTTTTTAAAAAGAAAAGCCGTCCTAACAGATGTGAAGTGATGCCGAGTGTATCACGTTCCCCTGATGACTCATGTTGAGCATCCTTACATGTGCATATTGGTCATTTGTGTGACTTCTCTGGAGAAATGTATTTTCTCCAGAGAAGAAGAAGGTCAAGGTCCCTTGCCCACGTATTAACTGATTTATCTGCTTTTCCTGCCATTGAGTTGTGGGAGTTCTTTATATAATCTATATGTTAATCCCTGATCAGATATATGATTTGCAAATATTTTTCCCCATTCTGTGGGTTGTTTTTTCACTTTCTTGGCAGTGTCCTGTGATGTACAAAACTTTTTTAACTCTCACCAAGTCCAATTTATTTTTAATTGTGTTGTCTTTGCTTTTGGTGCCACAGCCAAGAAATTGTTGCCAAATACAACGTCATGACTATCCCTGGTGTTTCCTTCCCAGAGTTGCAGTGTTCAGCTCTCACGCTAGTGAGCTGGCCCCTCGCACTCTCCAGAGATAACACACGAGAAGGAACCAAACTGGACACATCACAGCTGCCGCACTGATGCACACCAAGCCCCTGGGTGGGCCCAGTGGGTCCTAGCCCTTCCGATGGGATCCTTGTAGACTTTGATAACTTCTCTGCTGTCCCATCTAAAGAGGTGCGCCGGCTCCTCAGACCTAGAGTCAGCCGTTCCTCCGAAACTCCCTGGTTCCTTTTAGCACGAACCCTGTCTAGAAATCAGCCTGCATGAGGGTGCTCACAGCTGCAGGGTTGGTTCTCATTTCTAGGCCTTTGCGGCGGGCAGAGTGATTAAGTACCTCTAAATATATATAACACCCATCAAGGGAGTCAAGAAGATCCCCTGGAGAAGGAAATGGCAACCCAGTCCAGTATTCTTGCCTGGAGAATCCCATGGACAGAGGAGCCTGGCGGGCTACAGTCCATGGCGTTGTAAAGAGTCAGACATGACTGAGCAACTAACACAACATCCATCAAATATATATGACACCCATCCGAAGTTTTCCATTCAGATCTAGGGTTTATTGTGTGACCTCCTTAATTTTCTACCAAATCTTTCTCTTTCTGAGCTGAAAAATCCTAACACCACACCAGCATTACACATCTGTCTTATGTCAGAATTCACACACAAACATTTCAGAATAACCACGTTGACATTGCCGTCCCTCAACGTTTCAGAATAACCGCGTTGACCTTGCCCTCCCGAACGTTTCAGAATAACTGCGTTGCCGTCACCAGCAGTCGTGTTACTGCAGGGTGTTCTTCATTTTGGTCTGTAGCCTGAGAGTCACGTGGTCAGTTCACTGTGGCTTCATGTCATTTGGAATATTTCCCTATTTGTAGTTCATTTGTTTCATCTTCTTTGGGTTTACAGAGATGGCTTTTTAAATTTTAGTTAGCGATTCTGTGAAATGTTTGCATGATTCTAAGGCCAAATCTATTGCAGCCTGCAATGCCCAGCCTCAGGCTGCAGGAACCTGCTGGCTCAGATGGTAAAGAACCTGCTGGCAACGCAGGAGACCTGGATCCGATCCCCAGGTCGGGAGGATCCCCTGGAGAAGGAACCACTCCAGTATTCTTGCCTGGACCAGAACTCCAGGGACAGAGGAGCCCAGTGGGCTGCAGTCCATGGGGTCCCAGACAGCGGATCGTAATTGAGCCACTAACACTTTCACTTTCCTTTACTTTCAGATGCAGGGGAGGCAGTGATGGGGGAGTGGGCTGGGGGTGGGGGGAGGGGAAGGGGGTGGCTGGCCCTGGGAGTGGGCCTGCAGCCTCACCTGCTGATTTCTCCTCCTGCGCAGGTTGCCAGGCAGGAGGGGAGGGTCATCCTGACCTCAGGGCTGCCATACCACAAGGTGAGGACCCACGGCCCAGGCTGCCTCCCGCCCTCCCCTGTGGGCAGACTGGAGGCTCCCGGCTCACCTAAGCTAGGGGGGTGGGGCTTGGCTTCCGGCCCCACATGAAAGCTGCTTCTGTCCGCAGCTCCGGGCCCAGGTTGGGGCTGGGCGCTGCCTGGCAGTGGACTGCTCCCTCAAGGCCCAGCAGCAGGCAAAGGCCGTCATCAGGCATTTCAACGTGCGTGTCACCCCCGCGGACATCTTCAGCCGCTGCCAGGTGGGTGCCGCGTGCCCCAGGCTGGGCGAGGGGCCAGTGTGTGCGGCCCAGGCTCTGTGACTGGCAAGGCCCCGTCATGTGGCTGGGCCTAGGTTTTCTGCTCCACGGAGCAGTAGCCCGATCTGTGCGTTTCCTGCCAACCCCTTCCTCAGGAGGAGGGAAGGTGCACATGTGGTGAAGACCCCAGGGCATCGGGGGAGCCTGCGGGCACTTTTACCAGCTTTTCAGGACCTTTGCTGGTGCCTCATCTTGAGAAAACGGAGTTGGGGAGCTGGGAGGACACCCCACTGGCACCCCGGGGAACCGTGGAGCCTTCAGACCCATGAGGGTGGCCGCTGCCCTTTGCAGGAAGAATCCGGGCTGCATCCCAGCACCGTTCCCCTGCCCCAGCGGGGACCCCGTGGAGGGGCCAGGCTGCAGGACACCCCCAGGGGTGGCGTGGGGCCAGTTCAAAGGCTGGGGTCAGAGCTGCACCCTGGTGGGGGGGAGCAGCAAGTGTCCCCGGGACAGGAGACAGTCCTGGGGGCAGCGGGGCCCAGGGAGGCGCTGGCTCTGACCTGGCTGCCGTGGGGAGGCGGGAGACCTGCAGTCCATGGTGTATCTGCCCAGGTGAGTGATGGTGGCAGCCGGGGGGCGAAAGTGGGGCGCAGGGGGTCCAGGACATGCCTCACGGTGGGGCCAGGATCCCAGGTTTCGGGCTGAGACCCAGGTCGTCGACAGGGCAGGTCCTGGGTCTGGGCTCTCAGGCGGCTGGTCTAGGGGGTGGGCCAGGTGCCCCGAGCTCTCCGAGTGGGCGTGGGGGTGGCAGGAAAGGGGCTTCCTGCCAGCGGCGTCCCTGTGTGGTAGATGTGCATCCCACACGTGGTCAGCAGGTGATGAGAGGTGAGGTCCCTGGCCCCAGGACTGGAAGTGGAAGGCAGCCACAGCAGCGGACACGGGGCTGCTGGGAGGGGGCGAGCGCCAGGCAGAGACCATGTGCAGTTTGTGGCCACAGCCCAGGAGGGAGGCGGGGTTTTGGCACCCCGTGGGTCTTTGTCAGGAGGGGTCCCCTGCAGAGCCTCAGGCCCAGGGCTGTCCAGCGGCCTCCAGCAGGACTCAGCTGCTGAAGAAGGTGGGCTGGGTGCACCCCAGGGCAGGCCCCCCCAGCTGGCAGACCACTGTCCTGGGGCGCCTGCAGCTGTGCGCCGGGACCCCAGGAGGCAGGCACAGCCACAGGCAGAGAGGGGTCCCTAAGAGCTTAGGGTGCTTGAACCCACGCGCAGCCTCTCAGCATGCAGGCGTTGGGCGGCGGCTCCCACCGTGGTCCTCAGCCGTGGGCCTGGTCCCTGTGAGTGGAGGACGCTCCCTGCTGACGGGCAGTCCCTGCCCCAGGGTGGGGCACCTCAGGCCACACACCCCGCCTCCCCTGCCTGGAGTCCCCCAGCCACGATGCTCCCAGCCTCACCCAGGAGCTCAGCCCAGCACAGTGGCTGGGAATGGCTTACCTTCCCGGTCCAGCGCATGGGCCACCCCACTTCCTGTCCGGTGCGTGAGCCGGCTGGTCTCAGGGCCTCCCACACGTGGATAGGGAAGCCCAGGAAGGGCCTGTGCAGATGCCCCGAGTGGATGGCCCAAGGCACGGTGACGAGTGGCTCCATGTGACTGCAGACCCTGCCCTGCCTGAGGCCACGGCCCAGGCCCGCGTGGCCCCTGAGCCCGTGTGGACATCAGAGGGCACTGGCCACTGGCCAGCAGAGCGCCGCAACATAGGACTGACCGAGGGAGCACCTCCGAGCCGTTCTCGGCCAACAGGGTCCCATCCTGTGCCCCCAGGGCCCGAGCTCCCTGGACGCTGGCTCAGAGCCACCACCGCCCCTGCCCAGGCCAGAGCTGGCCGCCTCCCTGGAGAGCTCCCGCCGCCAGGCTGAGTTTCCATTTTCTTTTCCTTCCTTCTGCTATTTTGGTGCTGTTCCCAGAGGGAAAACCCACTGGACACACGAAGCGTTCCCAGAGCCCGCCGGCCGCTCTTGGGGATCCACATCGGGGTATGCGGCGGGAGCAAGGGAGGCTGGGGGGGCTGGTGGGCCCCGCCACGCAGAGATGGACCCTGACAGTAGGGAGGCAGCCCACCCACCCCAGGGCCCAGAGGGCGAGGAGCACTGGATCCCTCCAGCAGGGCAGGGTCGTGACCCCCGGAGCTGGTGACTGGGGCCTGGGACCGTCCATCGGGAACGTCCGCCAGGAGGACATTCCCAGTGCCGTCCACCCTGGGAAAGGATCTTATCAAAGAAATTTAAGCTTAAAAAAGTCCCAGTGCAGAAACCCAGGCACAGTCGGGCATAACGTCTATTTTACCGTCCCTGAGGCTCCTCTTCTGTGGTGGGGAGCGGGCTAAGCCCCAGGGAGGGGTGTCCTGGGGGTCAGTGACGTCGGCCCCTGGAAGTGGCCTCCAGGAGGACAGTCACCCCATCTCGGGTGGGGGGGGCTCTCAGCAGGGGGTCCCCTTGGGAGCTGTGCTGGGGGAGGAGCCTGCAGCCGGGGGCGGGGCCTAAGAGGCGGGTTCATGCCCCCCCAGAGCCAGGTGCTGGGCAGAGGCCGTGGGAGGGAGGAGGATGCTGCCTGGGCTGATGTCTGGTGGAGAGCTGGTGGAGCGAGGGCTCTCAGGGCCTGAGCATGCCAGGGCACCCTGGGCCAGGGGCCCCCGGCGCCTGCACCACACCTGGGAGGCCCGCAGTGGCAGGGGCCCGGAGTCCGGACGCAGGGGCCAGCGGGTCGCCGGTGCCCAGCCCGTCCCCAGGCGTGGAGACCCTCCCTGTGTCCTGAGGGGCAGCAGCAGACGTGGGGACAGACAGGAAGAGGCGGCGGCCCTGACCCCGCCCCTCCCCGGCCTTTGTGCTCCGCGGGCCCCCAGCCCCGTTCCCACACTCGGTGCCCCCGGGGTCATGCAGGCACAAAGGCTGCGGGAGGAGGGGCCCCACCCTGTGCAGGCAGGAACCTGGGGCCACTGGCTCCCGAGGCCGCAGGAGGGGCCTGTCACAGGCCTCCAGGGCGGGGTGGGGGGGGTGGCTATGGGGGCCCAGCATGCCCCCAGACTCGGGATGCCAGCCAGGGTGCAGGGCCATCGGCAAGCTCAGCACAGCACCCTGGGTCAACACTCGGATGGGCCCCGCAGATCACCCCAGGCCTCCCCACAGCCCACAGGGCCGCCCTCCCGACGCACTCCTTCCCTTCCAGGAACACCCCGGGTCCACCGGAGCCCAACCCGGGTCCCCGCACTTGGCTCTTGGGGGACCTGGGGACCTGGACCCCCCCGGCCCGGGGCCCCACTCCTGGTGGCCCCCTTCTTTAGGAGGGCCCCGTGGCTGGCATGACAGCGGTGCCCACACCCTCACACTGAAGAGGGTGCTCCAGGTGCCAGCCAGCCGGCAGTCTGTCAGCGTACCGGCCCCACGTGGACCTCACATGCTCCTGCAGGGCTCCCAGGGGCCCGTGTTGTCCGAGATGTGTGAGGAGGCCTCTGGAGTGGCCGGGGCGGGGGCCCGGCTCAGTGCCCAGGGAGGTCCCTGGCCCAGCTGACTGCAGGTGCCCAGCAAGCCCCCCCTCCTGGCTCCGTCTGTCCTAGGGTCACTCCTCTCTGGACCTTCGTCCTGACCATGTGTCCTGAGAGGGGCTCCTACCCCCTGTCTGGGGTCCCCCCAGGATGTACCTCCTTGACATTGACAGATGCTCACTTTAAACAAGCATGCTGTTGTCGCGCTGGGTCTCCGCCGCCGTGCGCAGGGCCTGCTCTCAAGCTGCGGTCCGCGGGCTTCCCCCGTTGGGGCCGCAGCATCTTGGGGTGCAGGCTTCAGTGGCTGCGGCGTGTGGGCTCTGCTGCTCGAGGCCTGCGGGGTCTTCCTGGACCAGGGCCTGGGTCGGTGTGCATCTGTGCCCTCGGACTTCTGACTCTAAGTGGGTCAGCCCTTTTCGAAAGTGAACATCTGGGGCTTCCCTGGAGGCCCAGATGGTAAAGAATCCACCTGCAGTGCAGGAGACACATGTTCAATCCTTGGGTTGGGAAGAACCCTTAGAAAAGGGAGTGGCTGCCCTCTCCAGCGTCTTGCCTTGAGGACTCCACAGATAGAGGAACCTGGCAGTCTGCAGTCCACGGGGTCGCAAAGAATTGGACGCGACTGAGCAACTAACACTTTCATTTCCCTCGCTTTGCGAGGCAGATTCTTAGCCGCTGGACCACCAGGGAAGCCCCCAGAGGCTCACTGTTTAAGAGGGCCAACCTGCTTAAAATAGGAACTCCGAGGGTACAGACTCACCTCACAGAGGACAGGTGTGCGGCCCAGTGACTGGGATGCAGCCTGGGATGCAGCCTGGGATGCCCGGCCCCCGGTGCACAGGCCCGTGCGGTGGACGTGGTCCACAGCCACGACCAGGACGCTGCCCCTGCCAGGCCAGGGTGGCGTGGGCCTGAGGGGAGCCGGTGGGGGCGGGGGAGGACCGGCCTCTGGGGGCAGCCTGGTGCCCTCAGCTCCGCCCTTCAGCCCGGGCTCAGTGCGGCACCTTGGGCAGCAACAGGGCACCCGAGGGTCCGGGGACTCCTGTTCCTCCACGTCCCCCCCTAGCCCACACCAGCGCCTGAGCCAGCCACGGAGCCAGCAGGAGCCACTGGCCGGGCGTGTCAAAGTGTCGGTCCAGTCGTGACTGACTCTCTGTGACCTGTGGACGGCAGCCCGCCAGGCTCCTCTATCCGTGGAGTTCTCCAGGCAAGAATACTGGAGTGGGTTACCATGCCTTTCTCCAGGGGATCTTCCGCACCCAGGGGTCGAACCCAGGTCTCCTGCGTTTCAGGCAGATTGTTTACCGCCTGAGCCACCAGGGAAGCCCAGACACGTCGAAGGCCAGCTCTAAACCCACTGCCCAGTGAGCCCGGGAGGGACAGGGAGGGCAGGGCGCTGAGGGCCTGCCTGCCTCAGGGCCCAGCCGGGGCAGCAGGGCGGGTGGAGAGGGCCCATCTCACTGCCAGGGTC